TCAGTTGGAGCTTCTGTTGTAACTGCTTCACTTGTCGACAAAACTTCGTCAGATGGAGCTTCCGTTGTCACAGTTTTATTTGTCGACAATACTTCATCAGTTGGAGCTTCTGTTGTAACTATTTCGCTTATTGACAATCCTTCATCAGTTGGAGCTCCTGTTGTAACTGTTTCGCTTATTGACAATCCTTCATCAGTTGGAGCTCCTGTTGTAACGGATTCATTTCTCGACAATAGTTCGTCAGTTCGAGCTTGTGTTGTAACTCTTTCACCTGTCAACAATACTTTGTCAGTTAGAGTTTCTGTTGTAACTACTTCACTTGTCGACAACACTTCGTCAGTTGAAGCTTCTGTTGTAACCGTTTTACCTGTCGACAATACTTCGTCAGTTCGAGTTTCTGTTATAACTACTTCACTTGTCGACAATACTTCGTGAGTTGGAGCTTCTGTTGTAACTATTTCACTTGTCCACAACGCTCCCTCAGTTGGAGTTTCTATTGTAACTGCTTCACTTGTCGACAACACTTCTTCTTTTGCAGCTTCTATTGTAACCGTCTTATCTGTCGATAATACTTCGTCAGTTAAAGCTTTTTTCATAACTGTTTCACTTGTCGACAATACTTCGTCAGTAGGAGCTTCTGTTGTAACTATTTCACTTGTTGATAATACTTCGTAAGTTGGAGCTTCTGTTGTAACCGCTTCACTCCTCGACAATACTTCAACAGTTGGAGCTTCTGTTGCAACTGTTTCACTCGTCGACAATACTTCATCAGTTGGAGCTTCTGTTGTAACCATTTTACCTGTCGACAATACTTCGTCAGTTGGAGCTTCTGATTTAACTATTCCACTCGTCGACGATACTTCTTCAGCTGGAGTTTCTGTTGTAACTGCTTCACTTGTCGACAACACTTTTTCAGTTGTAGCTTCGGTTAAAACCATTTTACCTGTCGACAATACTTCGTCAGTTGGAGCTTCTGATTTTACTATTTCACTTGTTGACAATACTTCGTAAGTTGGAGCTTCTGTTGTAACCGCTTCACTCGTCGACAATAGTTCATCAGTTGGAGCTTCTGTTGCACCTGTTTCACTCGTCGACGATACTTCTTCACTTGGAGTTTCTGTTGTAACTGCTTCACTTGTCGACAACACTTCTTCAGTTGCAGCTTCTGTTGAAACCGTTTTACCTGTCGAAAATACTTCGTCAGTTAGAGCTTCTGATTTAACTATTTCACTCGTTGACAATACTTCGTAAGTTGGAGCTTCTGTTTTAACTGTTTCAATTGTTGACAAAACTTCGTCAGTTGGTTCTTCTGTCGCGCCTGCTTCACTTGTTGACAATACTTCGTCAGTTGGTGTTTCTGTTGTAACTGCTTCACTCGTCGACAACATTTCTTCAGTTGCAACTTCTGTTGTAACCGTTTTACCTGTCGACAATACTTCGTCAGTTAAAGCTTCTGTTGTAACTGTTTCACTCGTCGTCGATATTTCGTATGTTGGAGCTTTTGTTGTCACTGCTTTACTGGTCGACAATACTTCGTCAGTTAGAGCTTCTGTTGTAACTGCTTCACTCGTCGACGATATTTCGTCTGTTGGAGCTTCTGTTGTAACTGTTTCACTTGTCGACAATAATTCGTCAGTTGGAATTTCTGTCGTAACTGCTTCACTTGTCGATAACACTTCTTCAGCTGCAGCTTCTGTTGAAACCGTTTGACCTGTGGACAGTACTTCGTCCGTTGGAGCTTCTGATTTAACTATTTCACTTGTTGACAATACCTTGTAAGTTCGAGCTTCCGTTGTAACTGTTTCACTTGTTGACAATGCTTCGTCAGTTGGCGCTTCTGTTGTACCTTTATCACTTGGGGACAATACTTTGTCAGTAGGTTCTTCTGTTGTAACTGCTTGACTGGACACTTTTTCACTTGTCGGCAATGTTTCGTTTGTTAGAGATTCTGTTTTAACTGTTTTACTTGTTGACAATACTTCGTCAGTTGGAGTTTCTGTTGTAACTGCTTCAGTTCCTGACAATACGTCGTCAGATGGAGCTTCTGTTGTAACTGTTTCACTTGTCGACAAAAGTTTGTAAGTTTGAGCTTCTGTTGTAAGTGTTTCACCCGTCGACAATGCTTTTTCAGTGGAAACCTTTGTTATAACTGTCTCACTTGCCGACAGCGCTCCTTTAGTTGAATCTTTTGTTGTAAATGTTGCACTTGTCGACGATACTTTGTCATTAGGCGTTTCGGTTGTAACTGCTTTTCTTGTGGATGATAATTTCTCAGTTGCAACTTCCGTCGTTACTGCATCACTCGTTGCTACTGATTTTCCTTCTGATGAAGGCTCTTCAGTTATGAGGGCTGTTGTAACCGATTTACCAAATGAAATGTTCTCGACAGGAGACTCTGTTGTGAGCGCCTCACTAGTTGGTGACGTTTCTTTAGTTATGTGTTCTAATGTAACAGTTTCATCTGTAGATATCTTTTCGGTATTCGGTTGTTCTGTTGTTACGTCTTCGTAAGTTGTTGAAGTTCCTTCAGCTGATGTGGCGATCTCACTTGTTGATGTTGGGCTATCTGTTTAATTGGAAAAAAATGGCTATATCAAAATTACGGCTTGTTTTCCTCTTTGACTTGGTCTTGAAGCCCAGTGCTTAATGTTGAAGGTCCCGTGCATTACTTAGTGTTATGCAAAAGCCTTTTCCATTGCCTTGCAGTGTTTCTTGCTTTCGGCATTTCCATATTACGTAAATCTGACTCCACTTTTTCGTTCCTCCTACGAACATCTGTCGGTTCAGAAATGTACCAAGCAAAACAGCGACGACCGTAATTCTTACGTTCATATTGTCATATTTGTATTTCAAACAGAAATGTGCGAAGATTTAATATATATACCTAACTGGGCCATAGAATTAATGCTTTCCTCTGGGATAAATAAACCTCCATTAATCAAACGTTGCATAACGATATCCATCGAATAAAATTCTTTCTACTGAATATAACTAGTAAGAGGGACAATCGCGTTTTTCACTGTATAGACTGAGATTAATCCATTGGATTGCGCTATCCAGCTTTTGAACAACTGACTGGAGCGTGATTATAACAATGAGTTTGGTTTTAAGTTAACGAAAAGTATTTACCTTTCTCTTTTTCTTCTCTACTTTCCTCTGTTCCTTCTGGTGTAATCGATGGAGCATTTCTTAGGGTCGGTGCTGCCGTTTGTAATGCAAGCACTGCCTTCTCTATTGTTTTCCTCTTCAGTGTTGTGGGTATCAAAGGCGTGCTTGTGGTTGAAACTGTTTTCTGAAATACAAATTTGGTAGGAATGTTAGATTTCCTGTACATACGCTTGTATTTTATATGCTATTATAGACCATGTTGCGGACTGGAAACTGGTGTTATAGCTTAACAGACCACGTGACTTTTTAGTTGGTAGATCGGACGTCTGCCAATTTGGATGTATTACCAGAGACATAGCTATAGCATTATGAGCAAGGTTGCACAAGGTTATGAGTAGTAATGAACATAACTGGATTCATTTTTGGTGCCTACAACGTCACACCATCTTTTCAATGCCTTTTTCATCAATGCAAAAATTCTTGTGTTGTTTGGACGTCAGCTTGTCAGGCCTTGAGATAAAAAATGATAGCCACTTGAATGTTTGCCAGATTAGAATGCACTTTATAATTAGTTTTAAAGTTCTGATTTGTTTGAAAATCAAATTTCCTTCAGTGGCATGATTTAACGGCAAACTTTCTTCCTGAACCTTTTATCACGCTGTGCGTAGTAATTTGAGTCATGAGGTGTGTGTACTACTATGCCACTCTGATCCCCGTCTTCAGTGTCGATCTCATAATAAAAATATTACTTAAAGACCCAGAAGGAGTCTGTTTTGAGCCCCAAACTGACAGGACCTGTTACCTGCCTTACACTCCTGTTGCTGTGCTTTGCTGGCATCTTTGTGCATAGCCAATTCTGCTATATCACCCTAAATAAAAGGAAGGAAGTGGAATTAGTTGGTTACTCTCAGAGGTTTCCAAAACCTTTCTAAAATATTAAAAGGGTTTGAGGAAAAAAATCTTAATCTCCAACATATTTCCAATCTATGACCACCATGAGGTGCTCGGCACACTAGACATTAACGGAGGGCTCATGGGAAGGTTTGCTGTGAATGAGAAAGAGTAAGCTGATAATGAACTCTCACTCGTGACATGTCGATTACGTGGCGTTATCGTGTTTTGATTGGTTTTCATATTCCTGTCCATAGTTAATGTGGCAGCAGATGTGTTTAGATCTCGTCATTTTTTTCCTTCTTTTTCCTATTACTTGGGCCAGTGAGCTTTCAAGTACCGCTACCATTACTCTCACCCGGTTAGCACAGCCTTTGTCTCACTTGATCGATTTTGGCTACTCGAGAAAGACCCTGCATTGATGGAGTAAGATCTCTGTTGAGCATGTGCTGCTTGTCTCTGGGACACAGTTTCCAACCCAGGCCTAATCTCCGTGCGCTTGGGTCAGCGGATTCAGTTACGTCCATCAGTTTATCAATAAACGGGTGCTTATACTAGGAAAATCAGTTTGACGAAAGAGGACAAGATTGAGTAGTCCAGAAGTTTTGGCTTCGGTGACTTCGAAGGCTTGACGCGATTGACAAAGAGCCTCCTTTTCTCCTCTTCACTCAAAAGGACAAAAAGACGCTCTAAGGCTCTAACATACCCCCAGAAATCTTTATGGCCACAACAGCTCATTCCCGAGTTCCAAAAACTCTCACTTTCTGAGCGAGGCTAGGTGTAAAACCCCTTTTTGTGATATTGAGTTTAGTTTAAAAAATTCATTTTCATACCAATGGCTTCGACCTTTGAATTGCTCTGAAACAGGAGCTTGGAGCAACTCGGAAATGAAGAGAATTTCTTCATACCGGTGAGATAGCCATTCAGAATGTACATGAAGAAATTATGACCGAAATATATTTGGTGTCCGAAAACCGCCATAATGATTTTACATAAACGATCTAAAAAACCAGGACTCTGCTCACCTCAAAAGCATTGGACTGGGCTCCAACAGTCCACCCCGCACGGCCAATATACAATGCACTGTAAATTGGTATAGTGAGATCACCCAGAACAGACGGCTTTGACTTTGTCTCAGCTGCATTACAATCCAAATAAAATGTGACACCGTCTTTTTTAATGCTGAATCCCAACCAGCTCCATTTACCGTTTATATCTGGCACCGTGAAGTCGAACACAGTTTTCGTCTCTTCGTCAGGTGCATGAGTCAGTCGGATAATAGAGTCTCCAGCGACATTCTGAATTTCAAGTCCTAGAATAACGGTTCCTCTTCGATGATGTGACAACAAAGCAAACACTACGCTGCGTTCAGATCGTTTTGGGCGGATAACCAAAGAAATGGAGAATTCGGTGAAAAATTGTGTTGGAAAAATGTAACGTGCAAAACGACCCACGTTCGCTACTGGTCTGAAGTGAAGGGCAGGTTTAGTATGTGGCCCTTTTGTGAGGGTAACGCCTAGCGGAAGTGGCTGTCCTATCGTCCCAAGCAGATCAATGTCACTGAGACTGCTGTCTGGCGCACCTGCAAAGAAATTAAAGGGGAACCTGTGAATTTGCAATCTAAGGGTGCTTTCCAAAAGTTAGAATTGGCAGACCGGACCAAGGCCGGACCAGTCATTTGAACAATGAAATAGGCTTTTTCCAAGAGTTTTTGCCGAAAAACCATCCCCTTCGTGAATACTATTTAAGATTTGACTGATCTGGCTGGATAGTTTTGATTAAAAGTGAAACGAAATTCTCTTTACAAAGAAAATGTTTTGGCCGGTCGGTTCGGACAAGTGAATAGCGCCTAAAGAATGTCCATTTTAAAGAGCAAGGTAAACAAAGAAAAAGTGGTATTTCGGAGATAAGCGATAACTCAAGATAAGATTATTTTCAGCGACTCACGCTAAAAGTATTTGCTATACTTAAGGACACGACACGAAGATGTGATGTGAATATAACAAGGAAGGACTAAAAAGCTAGATCTTCTTGATAAAAATTTGGAACAGATGCAAACCCCTAACTAACTTTAACTTAGCCCTGTTCCCCAACTGATCGCTGGAAGTACATGTAGTTTTAGTCTACCAATCAATTGACATCGAAGATATATGTAGTTTTCTGTATGGTGTTCACATTGATTGTGCCGCATGCGAGAGTGCGCTTTCACTCGGAAGCTTCTACTAATAATTATATTCTCCTGTTCAGTATATATATTGCGCTTTTGAGTGTGTGCTGGGCCTAGAAGATGCCATGTGCTTGCCCATCAACATTTCTTTCCATTTCCACAATTTAAAACGCGGTATCAATGTTTTGGATGAAAACTTAACCTCTTAAGTCATACTTCCACAGCAGCGTCTATACTGATATACAGTAACAACACACCACTTAGAACCAGCTGCATCTTCCCAGGTTACCTTAAACAGGTTCTTAGATAAATGGTAATTAGCACCAGATATTAGCTATTTAGGTTATTTAGGTTCTTAAATAGGTTCTTATTTTCTGAAACAAAAGAAAACATTGTAGCTAAGAGCATTTAGTGTATTTAATATTAACAATACATTGCAGTTGGAGTGATAAGGCACCTAAATCTCCAAAGAGGATCCTGAATGTTGGTTTATCTCACTTGCCTAAGTGTCCTGAATTTTTCTTATAGTTTTTAGAAAATAAAAGCCTGTTTCAAATTTTACGCTAAACAGGTACTGGTATAGATGAGCCTATTTCACAAATTTTTAGCCTAACAGGTTCTTAAAAACCAGGTTCTTAGTCCCGAGTTTTTACTGCATTACAAAAAGAGATTTGGAAGTTTCTGTGCGAGTTTTGGCAAGTAATCTCGTTTTGTTATCAGAAAGCCTCAAGATTTTACGAATCCTATAATAATCCTATAATAAAATTATCTGGACATTTCCGTTATCTTATGTTAACGTCGATTTTGATAAAAGGTTTGCGTTCACTTTTTCACTTTGTGACATGTTTTCCGACAGATGCAAAAATGCGCATTGACAATTTGAATTTCTCACGCTACTTCCCCAACTGAAAAGATCCAAAACATTTAAAAATGCGTGGATATCTTTTATTAGCTTTAAAGGCATCCTTGTTTATCATAAGCCAATAGGTCAAATCTATATATCGTATTGCTCGCAGTTTTAGTGGACGCGGCCTGTGATGTCGTCTTTTTTAGATAAGAAATTGCCAAAACCGCAATAAATTTTTTCAAGCTTTGCTTTCCATTTGGTACATGATAAATGAGTTTCGAATGTTTTCTTTTCAAAATGTTTACGAAAAAGAGCACCTTATCGCTCATGGATCAATGGCTGTCGCGTTAGATGGGAACACCATAAGACCACAAATCGGCGGATTCGTTATAGGCATTTTCACATACATTTTGACTTTATGCCACTTTTCGTTTTGTTTATCTACTCTTTCAATGATGCCTCGATCAGAGACAAAGCTAATTATCTATTCACTATAAAATCGGAACGAGCTGAATAACAATTTACCTTCAATGTTCCAATCAGTTAATTTAGGCAACGGGAGTTATTTATAAACAATTGATTAAACAAACGAAGCCTTGTTATTACGCATCAATGCAACATATGTTTACTTAACGCAAAAAAATGGGAAATGCAGAAATTAGTTTTATAGTAGCAATAAAAAAGTACAGATTTTATAACGCACCTTCATTTTGTAAGGTAGAAAAAGAAGCATGATTCGCACTGTGCAATAAAACAGCTAAGAAAACGTTGTTTGTACGATAAAAATCAAATATGTGGAAAAACTATGCGATAAATCTATCTGGAAAACCAATTACTTCCTAATAGATAAGAGAGAAGTTTGTTTTACCAGACTTCTGCTTTAAACTACGAAATTAATATCCGCATCATTTGCACTTACATGTTCCTTCATTCAATAAGATGAAAGTTCTTGAAATGCCCGTTTTTGGTCGTAATATACTCTACTACGACTCCTCCAGCTTAAAACACAAGTTAAAACAAAAATTCTCTGACCAGGAAAACAGATAAAAAATCTCGAAACGCTGCGCTCGAAACGGAGGCATGTGCACTGTGCGACTATGATGTGTGACACTACTTTTTTGTTGTTTGGCTCTCGATATATTAATCCCTATGTCATGACATTCTGATTGCATGAACTGTCTGTACCTGCGAAAGTTAAGCATGTTTTAATCTGTCGAGTTTTAATTCTCCTTCGAGAGCTTTCTTCTGACTTAACCTTTTTGAACTATTTAACCTTAGGAAACCTGAACGGAAACCTGAACAAATGAAGTTGTCGTACTTGTAATCATATCAACAAAACTCTTACTTTTGATTTTTCGTCCAGAAAGAGCTGTAACCTTTTATCGTGGCATTTAAAACCCATAGTGTAAAAATACAGTTAAAAACGTGGTTGATGAAAGTTAAACATAATATGAAGACTTGCTATAGAGGTAAATATGCATAGATGACATTTTCAAGACGATGACCAGCCACTGAAGCATGTCTATTTTTTGGTTACTCATTAGGTTTAAAAACAAGCCAAATAGTTAATAAAAGTGGAATTTGTTCAAAGAGGTTTTACAGATTCCAGTGGACTTAATCACGAAAGTTCAAAACGGGAATCAAATCAATATATGCACAACATATGAAAAATCAAGGAAGCCTTTTCTGTGAATTATAAACTGCAATAAAGTTAGAGCATGAGTTTGTAGGGTTGAAACTTTGAATTCATGTATGTGGACTTCATGTCAGTTGCAGCGAAGCTGTCTGTCTTTCGCAAATGGAACCCAACTGGATTTTAACAAATCTTATAGCTATCCACCTTGGCATTCCTTGAAGGTAAATAATTTGGATGAAGGATTGTGTACTTACGTTTTAAGCGGACACGGCCAAACGGTTCAAGTGGTCCTTCTGATTTAACATGGAAAATTCCCCCAAAACAAACGCAACTGAGTAATAATAGAGAAACAAGAAGGTTGCTGGATTCATACTTCCACACTACGATCTTCATTGTTCATTCTGATCTCCAGAAAATGTAGTCAAAACGCAAACGTTTCAAACAGACGAACGATGAACACCAAGGACTAGAATCGAAGCAAGCAGAAAATGGAACGATGGACATTTGATATTATCATTCCATTGCCGCTCCCCACAAACAATTACTTGCCAAGAAGATTGACTTTGTTGTCTAATACCCTGGTCCAGATTCGGTGTAAAGCTCTGTACTATGAAAGACGTTGCTAAAATATCCACAGCTTATCCCTTTCTACTAAAATGCTAAAGGTACCTTTTTGACTGAGCATTGGACGTTTAAGTCCATAAAATTGTGACAGATGTTAGCTGTGGCGGAGACAGGTAGGTAAATTAAAAGATCCGGGAGATTAGTGTCTAGTCTTAAAATAGACTGAAATACACTCTACAAAATAGTCTGTAATGCATTTCAAAGTAAGTAGAAAGACAGTATTTTTTCTGATTAGACTCGAGAAGAGTCGCGGAGTTGCTCCATTTCTTTCAAGGAAAAATATCAGAGACATCGAATCAAGAAAGTGCAAATTACACTAGCAAAACGTGTTTCTTATAATTAGCTTTGTTTCAACTTGATGACGGAAGACCATGGAGCGCGACAACAGGAAAATGAGAACAGCATTTACGATCATTTAGCACTTTTTTGCAAGAAGTTAAGACAATTTACGCTCCAAAAAAAATGCCGAAGAGTGAAAAAAAAAAAACAAAACAAAACAAGAAGAGAGATTTTGTCTCGTGCTTCAAATTTCAGCCCATAAGGAAAGTTTGGCACAATCGCAGAAAAAGAAATGATGCCAGCTAAATATTAAATATTCTCATATTTGCCTATTAATAAATAGGAAATTCTTCAGTGTGAGTATATCAGGAAAAGCATACCATATATATGTCTTTTGCGTTATCTACCGCCAATGAACTGTCACAGAGCTCTACAAACTGAAGCACTTGTTCAACTGAAATACGGAATTGCGGGAGGTCTGTTTTGAATGCTGCCTTGTTAACACTTTTGGAGCCATTTGAATTAATCTGTTTATATTTCATATGTTTGGTTTTTGTTTACTTTTACGGGCGTAGAGAAAACAGACATTGTAGTACCGCCTGTTAATGACTTAACAACCAGTGACGACTAATTGCTTTCAAACCGGAGGTCAACCGATGACCAAAATAAATAAACAGACAATTCCTCTCGGAAATGTGGTCAAAAAAATGTTCCGAAAAGGTCGGTTGTCAATTTGTTAAATGACATTACCCCTACATTTAATACTAAAGACGTAAGGTCAGTCAGAGCAACTTTTTTTTTTAGTGAATAGTACAGTCGACTCCTGATAACTCGAACCTTCAAGGGAAATAAATAAAGGTTCGAGTTATCGGGAGTTCGAGATATCGGGAGCTCGAAGAAAATAGCCGGGAGTAAGGGAAAGAACAGTTTTTACTGTACAGTGAACATTTTAATTACATTTAATTATAGAAATGTTAAGTGAAAATTAAAAGATACTTCTATTCTAGTCTAGATTATAAATCAGAACGTA